CACATACAGTACAAACATGCACACAAACAAATGCAGTGAACAAACAGCAAATCTTCTCTAAAATAAACAATGTCGTGAATGAAAGTGAATCTATTTGTAAACCTTAAAATCTTCGACAAAAATAAATTAAAAATGAATTGCAGAATTAAATGTGAAAAGTCAAGCTACCAAACTTCTAGAAGAGAGTGTATGAAAATATCCAGATGAATCTTGGATTTGGCAGTGACTTTTTGGGTAAAACACCAAAAGCACAACCATAAAAGTGAACACAAAATAAAACAAGCAGAAAGTGTCAGGGTTCACTAAGCTCTATAATGTCTGCTCTGCAAGACATGAAGAAGGAACAGTGAAGCCAGAGGCAGCGAAAAAAACACTCTCAGGGCACATGTAATAAAAGATTGCTATCTAAAATATACAAAGAAACCCAACAATGGGGGAAAAGCAACCAAACCACAATACGGGATAAAGGTATAAGCAGACCCCTTCCACGGGGAGAGAGATGGGATTTAGCCACAAGAACACACAGAACATCCACATACCAGGGGTCTCCACACTCACACAAGACACTATTCCATTAACCTACGGAGACAGAAAACGCCCAATTCGGACAGTCTCAGACATCCGAGTGTGGTGCAGACAATGTCCTTCCCAGCTGTCTGCTGTGTGACAATGGAGTCACTCTGCAGGACCCCTCAGTAGCTCTCCGTACCTATACACTTCTGCGCTGTGCTTCTGTCAGCTGTGTTACTTTGCTCTTTTTTTTTTTTATTAACCAAATGCACAAAATGAAAGCTCGTGTTTAAGCAAAAGTTGCACTAGATACTCATCTAGCAGCTTTCCTTATAACTTTCTAACCGGAAGCACCAGGATGCCTTTCAACATATGAATGGATAAGCAGCAATGATACATCAGTATGGGGGAGCATTTGGCAGTATAAAAGAACAAGATATTGAACCACAGAAGACATGAAGCAACCTTAACTTAAATGTACATTGCTAAAGAAGTTAGCCCACATATGACATAATCCATATATTCAGTCATGCAAAGTTCTATCTACATGAATCCAATGATAGGACATTCTAGAATAGTGAAGCCGTCAAAAATAGTTGGTCAGCTATCATCAGGGCCTCAGGAGGAAGTACAAATAATGCTTTTTAGGGTACTGAAACTAGACAGACTGAAACATACATATCACTGCTTCGTGTCAAAATCAAGCAATTGCTCTCCACAGTGATAGAACGCACATGCTTTGATTAATAGGAATGTATTATTACTAACAAATAAAGATGATGTGCTACCAGTGTACAATATTAAAGCGCAGATGTCAGTGACGGGCATGGGGAGCGTGTCATGGCTGTGTGCATCTCCACATCATGAAGACTCACAATTCTGCAGCATCTCAGCCAGCATCAAGAATGAACTGAGCTTAGTATGTACGGCTTGGCATGCTGTGACCAAGACCATGGATTCTGCTTTACAGGACACTCACCAGATATCGTCACCAGGACATTTAGGCCCTCAAGCACATCCATTTGCTGAAACCGTCTCCGGCTGATCAGAGGGTACACTTTCCCTTGGCCACTTCTGTCCAAGAGCATCAGACCACTCTCTGTGCCAACCAGCAAGTTCACTCCTGTTCAAGAACATGGAAAGGCCTACATTTTAGGTTGTGATTGCATAGAGCTGTACCACAGAACAGAAAAACATTCTCTACTTGAAAGATGACAGTGGGCCGGGCAGTGGTGGTGCACACCTTTAATCCCAGCACTTGGGAGGCAGAGGCAGGCGGATTTCTGAGTTCGAGGCCAGCCTGGTCTACCGAGTGAGTTCCAGGACAGCCAGGGCTACACAGAGAAACTCTGCCTCGAAAAACCAAAAAAAAAAAAAAAAAAAAAAAAAAAAAAGAAAGATGACAGTGTCCATAATCCCTAAAAGAATGCCCAGAACAGTGGGAACTGAGCTCCCAGGTGCAAGCCCACTATTTCTTGGGGTTTAGAGATTCTGGTCCATCTGCTACTATGGCCGCACAATTGGCAACCTTGTAGAATGACTTAAAGAGAGAGCAAGCCTCTGTAGTCTCCACTGGCTTATGAGCTGGTCTCAGTCAGTTCCCATCATGGAGAAACAACTCACTGTGTCCCCACCTTCCCAGGAGCTGCCTTCCCTGTGACACACAGTTGACCACACCAGCGGCCTGCTTACTCTGTCAGGACGTCTCCTGCTCCCATCTCTCTCTGCATCTTCCATGGGCATTGCTGCTGCAGCCTCTCATTGAGCACACACATGCCCACCTGCGCCAGGGCAGCAGCCCCTACGGCCAGGCTGTGCTTCCCTGCTCTTCCATACACAACAGATTTGTACTGAAACCAGGACTCCCACAGAAGGTATCTAACACCTTCTTCCTGACCCTTCCTTCCCTCCTCTGGCTCTGATATTCCATGTTTTCTGATCATGTGACAGCTGACAGACACAGGCCTTCACTCAGTCTGTCCCGAGAACCTCCACTGTCTCACAGGTACACATCAAACTGATCCTTGTTTTCTTACACACCTACTTCATGACTTTTATTTTGTACTGTTATGACTTTAATATAAATATCTGTTTTCTGATGGTCTTAGGCACCCCCCACCACCAAAAGAGTCATTCGACCCCCAAAAGGTGGAGAACCATTGATCCAGACTTTCAGCAAGGTCTTTACTGCAGGATCATATGAGCTTCAAAACAGTCGTGACACAGGCAGAACTTGTGACCCTGAGAGGGCAGGTGGGTCTGCTGTGAATCTGGCAGCTTCTCAATAGTTCCTAGAGTAGGAGCTTAAGCAGGGAAGAGAAAGGGCAGGCCATGTGGGTGAGAACAGGAGCTGGGAACAGCGGTGTGAGGTTCTAAAGATGAAAGGCAAGTCCTTGTGCCCACCTCAGATGCTTCTCCCAAAGAAACTGAAAAGAGTAAGAGAGGCTGAGCCATGGAGGGGAGGAGAGATGATTTACTGCTGCAGGGGATGTGATGGCTGCCATGCTCAGGGAACAGGACTGCGGGAAGTGTGTGGCCTCATGTCATCTGCATGTGCGGTGACTTCATGCCACTTGCATGTGAGGTGACCTCATGCCATCTGCATATACAGTGTCAGGGAGTAGGAGACTTCTGGGCAGAAGCAGGGTACTTTAAAAGCAGAACCAAACTGTGGGACTGGATGTCAGGGTAAGGGCAGGAGGGAGCTAGCAGAAAGGCTAGCTTGAATTTGAGAAGGCAGAACTGAGCATGCTGCTACCCTGAGAGCACAGACAAGCCAGGCTGACAGCCCTCTGCAGACTGCTTCTAAGAGTCTCCTCTAGAAACTGGTCAAAGTCACAGACAATGCAGTGAACGCAGACATCCAGACTTACTCTTCCTTCAGTAAAGGCCAGCTTCTCCCTCCTCCTCTCACTGACCACTTCACAGGAGGAGTGGGGACAGTTCACTTTTCCCAAGGTCCTACTGCTGACACCACTGGACATGCATTCTGATGCACAGGACACACTCAGCTAAGCTGAAGGCCCAGAACAAGAATCAAACAGTGTGTACTTCTCTGCCTGACAACTCCGTGCTTCAGAAGAAAGCTAAGTCATCTGACAGCAGTGAGGTACCTACCCCATAAGGCAGCACACAGGATCTCTGAGTTAAATCTCTTCTTGTATTTACGAATCTCAGGGGTATCACTCTGTGGCCTAGTGTTCGTGGGGTTCACATTGACCACTGAGCCTTTCCGAGTAGGATCTTGCCTTATGGCTTCTGGTCTCAGCCCATCACAGGAAAATCCCACTGAAACACAGTACATTGAAGACTTATCTTCTGCACACAGACACCACTGTCTCACACCCTCAGATGCCCCAGATAAACATCCATACACTGCAGCTGATACTTTCTCAAAGAAAAGGTGTTCTAGAAAACATGGACATAGAAAGGAAATTGACCATGACCTCATGGCGACCCAGGCAATGAGAGCGAATGGCCTTGCTGGCTGAGCACTGCTCCACCAGCAACCACGCTATGCCTGGGCCATGAGGAAAGCCACATGGGGACCGGGCCCTGCCTGACAGCTGCCTTTCTTGACACCGCTGTACTTACCCACGGAAGTAACTGTCGTTCCACTAGATGGAGAAATCTGTAGTAACCTGGGGTCTATAAAAGGTGTAAAGGAGGAGGAAGATTTGTGTTTCTGGAGTGTGCTACTAGCGGACTGAGTCTGAAATGTAAATTTCAATTTCATTAATAGAAGAGACACTTAAAAAGTGAACAATAAAGACCATTTCAATCCACTTACACATGGTACCATTTCCCAACCCAAGCCCTCTCCTCCTGCATCAATCCCCAAAAAGCCCAGCAGGCAGTTCAAATGTAGTATCTCTTCCTTGAGACACATACACACCAAGGGCAGTGATGCTGCAAAGTACCAACAAAAGCACCACTTCACAATCAGAACTTTAAAGAAAATGAAAATTCTCAAACAGCATCAGAAATGTCTTAATAGCAATTCATTACTTTCTCAATTTACATATCATACTACAAAGTAAAATTAATGAAGTTTTCATTTCCTAACTATTCTGAGAGCCTACTTGTGTGATGTCCTAGCTACTGTGACAGCCTACTGGTGTGATGTCCTAGCTACTGTGACAGCCTACTGGTGTGATGTCCTATATACTGGGACAGACTACTGGTGTGATGTCCTAGCTACTGTGACAGCCTACTGGTGTGATGTCCTAGCTACTGGGACAGCCTACTGGTGTGATGTCCTAGCTACTG